CCCCTCGAGGGACACCCCGCGGCCCCGGCAAGGAAAAGTGGGAAGGAAGCCGGCGTGGCTCCGGCCCCACGAGGGACGCGTGTGAGGGGCTGCCCTGCCCGGGGCAGGGGATGGGAGCGGTGAAGGATGTGAGTCACGGGGGAAACGGCGGGGCAGGGTGGGGGGAAGTGACCCAAAATGATCCCAAACCCCATCTCTGCCACCTGTGCCCACCGTCCACCAGCCACTGCTGCCCTCCTGGCTGGGGCTGAGCGGGCACGGGCACAGCCAGGGATCCAAGGAACATTAGGAACGTTTCCTTCCCTTTGCCTTTAGCAGCCAGGCGAGGGGTCCAGCCAAGGCAGCGATTCCACTGCCAGGTCCCCCTCCCTGGAAAAGCCCCTGTGCATCCCACGCAGGTCACCAGGCCTGGCTGCACTCGAGGCACAGAAGGACGTGCCAAGTGACCCCGCGAGCGCCTGTCCCGTCCTTCCCCTGCCCGGGACAGCGTGTCCTTCTCAGTGCTTTGCTGAGGACGTTTCACATCCCCACAGGGTGAGGTTGCAGGAAATTCCCACTTCCCCGGTGCTTGGAAGTCCCCCCACACCCTCTCCTCCACCCTGCAGGTCCTTCCCTGGGGCCTGCCAGGCTCCTCCACCTGCAGGTGCTTCCTTGGGGCCTGCCAGGCTCCTCCACCCGCAGGTGCTTCCTTGGGGCCTGCCGGGCTCCGTCCTCAGCCCCAGTGACTTTGCACCCCCAGTCAGACAGGAGAGACACCCCTCGTTAGGGCTTGGCCCTTCCTGAGCCCATGGCTCCTGCTGCACAAGGACGAGGGAAATGATGGATTTCCTCCGGCACCGGCCCAGCTCCTCACACCCTGAAGGACCAGGAGCCGCCCGGGCTGCCCCCGGCCCCGACGAGGCTGTGGCGGCCCCGTCATCCCAGTTCCCCTCCTAAACTGGGTGGAAGCTGTCCTGATCCCCACAGGGTCAGTCCTGCCACCCCAAATCAGGACCTGGACACTGCACAGGCTCAGACACTCATGGCAGGGCCTCAAGGACTTCCCAGGTGTCCCAGTCACCCACCCACCCTTCCTGCCCATCCTCACCCTCCCCACAGCCCCGCTGATTACCCTGGACTTTGAGGCTAATTCCCAACACCTGACCAGCTTATTCTCCTGAGTTCATTATCAGCTTAAGGGCCAAAGACATCTGCTTCCCACTGCCCTCCCAGAGATCTGGAGGAGTCTTCCAGCTCCACACAGGAGAGCAGCATCTCCCCTCGGATGGGGCTGTGAGCATCTCCACCGCACAGCGGGGCAGCCCCTCTGCCCCCCCAGGTAAGTGCCTCTGCTCCTCCAGGTGGGTCCCACCTGCTCTGGGAGCCACTTTCCCCATGGGCTGGGCCACTTCTGGCTCCTGCTGCAGCTCCCAGGGCTGGCTGTGTCCCGAGGGACGGATGGGAAGAGGAACACGGGGCACGCTTGCCGTGGGAGCAGCCACACAGCAGGGCTCGGCACCTTCCGAGCAAGGCCAGGGCACAGTTCAGCTTCAGCACCTCTGGTTTGGTTGGAAAGGTTCTGCCCAGGCTTTAGACCCCGAGTTCTGACATGGAAATAAGATCTCACAGTGCAGGTCAGCTCTGTGGGCATCTCACATAACCCCTGGATGGGCTTTTGTGGGAAAAGAGTTGGGCTTTTCCAACCCACACACCCCCAGAAACTTGCAGTGGCAGCCAGTGCATAAAAATAGCCAAGTTGAGAGCAGTGGAGGAGCCATAATGTGGGGGAAAGGCACAAGGAGGAAACAAAAAATGAAGTAACTTCAGTTCCTTAGGAAACCTCCAAAGATTTTGTTGCCCAGGCACAGGACACCCATCAGGGAGGTGCAGTTTGCAGACCTGGGCATCCAGCTTGTCCCACAGCCTGAGGCAGCGGTTCCTCTCTGGGATCATCCAGGCTCACTCTCCCCTCCACCTGGTTTCTTAGGAAAACAGTCTCTGTGGTGGCAAAGAACTCCTTAAAAACCAGGCTGGATCCTCCTCCCCTGCCCTCAAGCTGCATCTGTCACTCCATGTGCCTGCTGAGCAGGAGCAAAGGAAAATCTGGGAATGGCAGATGGGACAGGAAGGGGGTGGAGAGGTGGCTCCTGCCTCGGTTTCCTTTTGCAATGGGACATTGGGGGGGCTTGCAATATTATGGGGACAAAGCAATAATCCCAATAACGAGCCATTTCCCTGCAGTTCCAGGGCAAAATGGCTCAGGACATGACAGAGAAGGAGCTGCTGAAGATGGAGCTGGATCAGCTGAAGAAGGAGGTGAAGAACGAGAGGCAAATGGTGAGGGTTCCACCCAAAATGCTCTGACCTGGAGGTGACTTCCTTTCCTGCTGCAAAGGAACAGGACCACAAGCCCTAAATCACCCCCCAAATGCAGCAGAAGCAGCTGCACTCCACCTCTCCCCTCCAGGAAGGCATTCCCCTCTTAGCCCCACATCCCAGATCCTACCCCACACCTGGCGAGGTGTCCATAACGCCCTGGGGATTCTTTTGGGGACACCCCATGGCGGGTGGGACATTCCTGGCCACAGTTCCCTTTTCCCCCTGCACGAATGGGTTTGCAGGGAGGATCCCACCCCAAACACGGAATGTCTCCTTCCTTGGCAGGTCTCCAAGACCGGCAAAGAGCTCAAGGACTACATCGAGTCCATGGCGGGCGAGGACCCGCTGCTGAAAGGAGTCCCCGAGGACAAGAACCCGTTCAAGGAGAAGGGGGGCTGTATAATAAGCTGATGCCCCCTGGCCCCGCTGGCACCGCCGGGCACGGGGGTGTCCCCGTGTGCCACCCAGGACTGTCAGAAACCTGCTTTCCCTGTAGTCCGCCCTCAGCACCGAGGAGGAGCCCAGAACCACAGCGTAGTGCAGCTAAAGGACAGCAAAAGGAGAAAAAAGAAGATAAAAACCCCGAAAAAATACCCCAAACCCTCCCCCCTCCCCCGGCTGCCACCGGGGCTGAGGTTTGGCCGCCGCAGCGTCGCCGTCTGCGCCGTCCCAGCTGAGCTCTGGTTTCCCACGAGCACAACTTCTGCATTTGCAGCAGCCGGAGCGAAGCAGGGGTGATGAACCACAGAGCTGATGGTGCAGGAGTTACCTGCTGCCTCTTTGGAAGGGTGGGGGTCTGCTGGAACCTGGAAGCTGCTGCTGGGGCTCCAGGAGAGATGGAGATGGAGACTGGTTTACTTGCAAGGAAATACCTCTGATCCCACCTGGAGCAGCGTTTTCCTGCCTTCTGGGTCTCGGAATGAGGCACAGGGGGTCCCTCAGCACTTCAGCCACCCCAAGAGGGGGGTCCCTGCAGAGAACAGACACAAGGAAGTGCATTTTCCTCGGGCAGCCAGAACAAAACCCACCCTGCACCTCCCCAGCCATGATCCCACCAAAATAAAGGTGGTTTTATTCTCTCTCCTGCAGATGCTCAATAAACCCTCCAGCTCGAGCACGGCCTCTGTCTTTTCTTGCAGCACTGAGGGGCAGGAAATGCTCTTTACAAAAACAATTTATAGGCTTTCTTTTCACTTCTAAGTGGAACCCAAATGTTGGGTTGTGACCGATATGTTACTTTTTTTAATGCTCCATCTTCCATGGCTTTTTTTTTTCCTTTAGAACTTGGCTATTTCCTTCTTCCCTCAGCATTCCACCTCCATCCTCCTCACTTCCCTCATGCAGTGGGGTTGAATCCCAAGGTTTGATGCATTTGATGGTTCTCTTGGAGTTTTTTTGATGCAGCAGAATCCTGTTTTTTTATGGTTTTACTGAGTTTTTGGGGGGCTGGCAGAATCTTGTTTTCTGTTGTTTTGAGTTTTTTTGGGATGTAGAATCCTGCTTTTAGATGGAGTTGATGTTTTTATTGGATTTACTGGGGGGGGTGTTAGAATCCTGGATTTTGATGGGTTTGTTGGTTTTTTTGGGGGGGAAGGGTGGAAAAATCACTTTTTTTAGGGTTTTTTG